TCCACTTCACGGAGCTGGTCGCCATATTTCTAGAGCAAACAAGACCAGACAAACCAAACCATAGGGCCATTCACGTTTTTGCGCCTGCCACATTATTTCTCTTACACACTTGCCGCATGGCAGAAGTTCAAGGTAGTTGCTCTGTAACCTCATCGCAAGATGCTGCCAAATAGTATACACTGCACCTTTAAGAATAATTTCAACACAAGATGTATAAATATTAAATCGTGTAATCCTGAATAATTCCAGTAGTTGAAAAGTAGAACCTATTCAGTCATTTACTCAAGGGAATATTTCACCTAAGTATTAACAGTGTAACTTGCACCTTAAGGTGCACAACAAAACCCTCTCCTGGAATACATAGACCACCACAAACTGTTATTTACAACAGTGTCCAGACCATTTTTAAACAGCATGTATATCAGCTACAGCATGATGGCAATTTGTTGATTTTTAACAGTCGCGTCTCAGAGAAACAGATGCAATTACATATTCATCTGCTACTTGAGCACAACAGACAGCCCCCATCATCCCCCATCAAATACTACGTAAGCTACTGTTTTGTCTTTTTGGAAGATCACCTTAAACACACCAGCTTTCCAACTTCTGGTACAACACCACAGTTTGACATAATAAGTTAGCTGTAGCTACAACATTAATTTACTTGTCAGATGACTTTGTAGTATCCTAGCAGCAACAACAACGCAAAAATCACACAAATTGACTTTATTTGGAGGCTGCAACAGAGAGACGCAAGGCAGCTGGTTATTAGTCGGCCTTTAAAATATATCTGGGGTGATTGGTTTCAAATAGTATTCAAAGCATCTTTTCTTTTCCTTTGTCATAATTTTCTGTGTCCAAATTGCACATTTGTGCATGAGCAAATGGCTAATGGGCCGTACACTCACTGACCATTTCTCATTGGCCACGTGGTCACACATTTTAAAGGTCAAACATAGTTGGAAAGCATGTATCGAACACTCACCGCCCTGGAAATATTACAAACATTTGTTGCAAAATGTATTCAAGATAATGTCAATATTGAGTAGTTGTGTGCTGTTGATTTGTTTATTAATTTGATTATTCCTCTGTCCTCCATCCTCCATCTGTGCATCCATCTGTCTCCGCTTCCCACATACATCCAACACACATTCTGGTCGTATCCAATCAATAAAAAGCCTTTTAGATAAGAGAGTCACGACGCAGAGAGCGTGTGGATAGTTACCTGCTTACAATACACTCCATCTCCCTCAAGCTGCAGTAGCTCTCACTGTTTCCCCTCACATTCGATTTCTCACAGTCTCTCCTTTGCACACACTCATCCCTTCTTTTTCATCTCCCATGGGGCTGACACAAGTGTGGTGGGTTGATCCCTATTCACAGCCTTCCCCTGAGTCTTTCACAGCGAGTCCCCATCACCCAGGTGGGCAGGGCCGTCTCCATAGTGTGGCGCCCTGCTGTGCTTGCTCACCGGGGGTCTCTAAAGTTAGACTCCATTATTGAAGGAACCATATAACTGTGATTGCATCTCAGCATTAATAATGCCGAGGAGATCCTCTATTGATCCTGTAAGGAAATACTTTCTCTCTCTCAGAGAGATGTTGGACAGAAGAGTCGGCTTTAAAGCAGAAACCATCGGGGGGGGGAGACATCTTTGCTCCAGACAAGAGCAACAGCTTTTCCCTTGTATAGAGGACTTTGTGACCCTGTTCTTGTATCCAGACATATTCAGATTGTTTATTGACTCAGCTGAGGTGGGAGTTGGGAGTAAGGCATTAGGCGCTATAAAGCACCTTTTATATTTCTGTCCTGTCAGTATCACTGGTATCGAACAGGACACAACCAGTAAAAGCAAAGCCGGTGCCCCACAAGTAGTTACAATGCAGCTTACGATATGAGGCTTTATTTACTCACATGCCCACAAGCCTGCTTAATGTCCTACACCGCATAAAACAGCTGACCTGCAGCGCTGCACTGTGGCAGACATTAAGACCTCTGATGGTCTCGCTTACGTAAGTAGGTCATAGAGGCATCAGTTTTAAATTGAGACTGTTTCATAACCAGTTAAAAGTTCCTTACAGTAACTTTAAGTGTTGCTGTGTGGATTTTCTTCAGCTCCACATTTAACAGGCTAAATGAGTATAAAACACACTGCCCTGTTCACACATGCAGGGACTCAAATTAGCAGGCTTCCTCTTGCTTCTCATAAACCTGAGTATCAAAGGTTTGTGTGGTGTTCGGCACGTGATTGACATACTGAACTCTGATTGGGCAGTTATTTTCTCCTGTTTCCACTATATTGGCAAAGTAGTTCATTTGTCGAGGTAGGTGATTCCACGCAATTTTTCTTATTCATCATATAGTTATTTATTATCACTTTCACATAGTTCAGTTAGAGTAGAAAAAAGGCTGCTTGGTTTCCTGAGGGAATCAGAAGGCATTCACACTAACATGATTCTCTTTGGAGCTTCCAATGAATGGCAGCACTATGGTCAGAGACGTTGTGTTTGCACTTTACCTTATATGGTCACTTTATCAAATCCAATTAAATCACATGCATTTCCGGTCCAGTCATGTTTTTGGAGCTGTCCCCTTGTGATTGTGTCATATTCAACATGCCATTCACATCACAACTTGATCTACCTATAATCTGTGCTCGCATGTATTTGATTGGCTGATGCAGTTCGTTTTTGGATGCTGCTGCATTGCATTTTGGCAAAAGGCTGAGCCAGACAACTTTTTTTCTTTCTTTATAGTTCTGAACACTTCTAAATATTTTGTTAAGTGTGAACAGGGCTTATGTTTGACCTTTCAACTTTATGCCTAAAGTGTAGAGTAGAAACGAGATGTAAAGTTTTCGAGTAAATTGTACTTGTCAGAGAAGTTATAGGGCTGTATACATTTTACTCTTACTTGAGTAGTATTTTAGAGAAAACTCGTTATTTGTGCTCTGTTATATTTGTCATGTGGACATGACAAATATGGGAGTTTTGTCTAGTGTATATGTTGCAGGTTGTCTAATCAGGAGATGAATTGTCATTTAATCACTAATAAATACAGGTTTATGTTCACTTCTTTAACCATACCCATCTCTTTTTAGTAAATACTTTTGTACTCTTACTCAAGTAGTTATTTTTATGACTACTGTTACCTCTACTTGAGCACTTTTTTGCCTATGTTGACTTAGAGTTCATCAACGTGAATGAAGTGTAAGTTTTAGTTTCTGAGGAACACCTCCCACTAAAACATACTGCATCATTGATTAATAGATCAATAATAGTAACTAATAACAAAGATACATACAGACTAGCATTCTAAAATGAAAAATACAAGGTGCTTTGCAAAATATAAAATGACTTTGAATATCACCTTAACTATTAATAAAATAGCACAAGAATCCTTGCAGGTATTTTGATGGATTGACTTAAGTCTGGACACCTTTTCCAGCCTGTCAAAACGATACATCCATCAACAGTATTTGACCATCCGTTTACCAATGCACTGTCCTTTTGCCTCCTCAAATATATTACACTGGATACTGAATAAGGATATGAACTGCTGAGTGTTCCTCCTTAGTGCTGACTTGCCAAACACCTTTGGCAAGCACTCAAAAGTGCTCAGATGCTGGCTAGCCCTCATGGTTATACAGTGGGCTTGTACCTGCCAGGAGTTTCACAGCTTGCTATTATTTGTCACTTAGAGGTGGAAATGGGAGGTTTAGGGCAGGATAAGGTCAGACTCTCTGAGTGTAGTTATAAGTCATTTATTGGGCTGCTGATCAACTTTACGTGCCAGCTGCCAGACTTTGGTGATGATTACACGCTGTAAAAGTATTTTCTAATTAAGCAAGTTATGTATTATTGTATAGTAGCATATTGTGAGTTATTGTTTGATAATGTATACAACTATATTTAATGCTTCTATCTCGAAACAAAGACATGTGCGTGGCAGTGCTCCAGTGCACCAGAGACTAAATGTTTGGCAGTGACAGTGGGTGATGACATTTATGGGATGGGGAGAAAATTGGAAGAAAATACTGAAATATGTCAATGTTCTGCAATGAATGCAACCATTTCGACCCAATCATACCAGGCCTCTAATATTTAACAATCACAAGGTAGCCATGCCCGAAAGCAAACCACGCTCTACTCTAAATGGGACCATACTTTACAAAATAAACATCATGCTACAGTAGCTGTAATATGTGTTAGCCAGCTAGTGGTTTGCCCTCATCCTCCCATCTTATCTCACAGCTTTACATAATGTTCGTTAAAAGGCAAACGTCTTGATGTGGTAACGGGGATGTTCTTGTCTTTGCAACAGTGTTTACTGTCATGTTGTTTTGAGTTCTGTCTGAAACGCATTCTCCTGCTCTCATTTCCAAAGTGATCCTTCTCTCGGGTCTCGGAATAACTACAGTCTGATTTGAAGTGCAAGACTATGAGTGGTAGTTTTTGTTTAACTATTAATAAGACTACTATTTGTTTGTTTTTTCAACAATTTGTCACTTGACTTCACTCTATTATTTCTTCTCTATCCTCTCTTTCCAACTTATGGAATATGACTGAAGCAAACTGGAATGGCAATACAGAATTTGTTAGCAGAGGTGGTAAATGTTGTTGGTAAAACAGAGTTGTAGTAAGTATTGTTCTATTTAGCCGCTGCTTCTGGGATCAGTTTCTCTGTACTTGCATCTCACATACAGTATATCTAAACGAAATGCTACATTCTTTCTCTACTCGTGCCTGATGTTGCTCTGTGTCTCAACTCTTGCCCTACAGTACCTCTTGTGTGTGTGTATAAGCACACTTGAATATTCAAACTTTCACTCATTGTTAGTCTCTCTGAGTAAGAGCCTAAGTGCCTGTAAATGTAAATTTCATCAGATGTGTTGTGATAATGCTACTGGGCAGTTGCCACGTTGTGCTCTGAGTCAACTCTGGGACATACAGTGAGTGCGGCTGACACACTGCCATCTGTGTTGTGTGTGTGTGGTGCAGGATCCCCGGCAGGCTCAACGACAGACGCACTCCCCTCGGAGAACTCAACTGGATCTTCACAGCCATCACTGACACAATTGCCTGGAATGTGCTGCCTAGAGGTGAGGCTTTACATATGCAACTTGTTTAAATACATATCATGATTTTATTTTCCACAGTTACCAATCTGACAAAAAAAAAAACAGTTTACTACAACTTGGGTTTTATTTTTGTAATGCGACGAGTACTAGCCAATGAGAGGCAGAGTAGAACGGGTCTTCATGGAATGCAAATGGGGGAAATATCAATTAAACTCCCCTAAATAACTCGCTGCGCAACAGTCAATGGCTTTGACAGAGGTAATTTGGCATGCAGATGAGAGGGCACTTCAAAAAACGTTCTTACGTACTGCTAGTGTGCATTTGGTTAAGCTATTGGCAAGCATGCCTGAGAATGCCTACCCCCAGGTAAAGAGGATTCTGTGTCGAATTTTGTGTTGAATTAGTCCGTAGCGGGCTCATATGGAGGAAGAATGGACCAGTTCTAGAAGATGACCGATAGATGTAGAGACAAATAAATTTGTTTCCAGATCCTGCTACTAGGTTTTTCAGCTGTGGATAAGGAGACTCGCCCCGCCTCGGCTCCATCCACGTTCCAATTTACAGCTGACAACGCTTGACAACAGTAATAATCCCGCCCCTGGCACTGATTGGCAAATCATTGGTCCCTCCGCTGCGCTCATTGGTTGATCACTGTTTAATCAAGAATCCACTGTTTCATGTCACAATTCCAGACAAATCAGTCGACCTGAACTCAAACTGAAGTGAAGCGTTCTGGACCCAGGTTATCACTTAAGCTCCTCACAAACCTATGGGTGACTACGTCCATGTTTTATACAGGCTATGGTAAAGACACGCCAAAGTTTTGAAACTGTTTTAAAAACAGTCTTTATTTCAATATTTCAAAAATGAAATGACCTCCGTCTTTCAGCTCACAGGGAGCCCAAACTAGGGCTCCTTATAAAAAGAGTAGTGAAGCATCAGCAATACTAAAACTTTGAGATGATCCCTAGTGGTTGAAAATAGCAAAGGTGTTGATATAATAAGCCAATAGTGCAGGTTGGCTCCTCAAATGGAGATTAATTGTGTTTAGAGTGTCTAGCACAGTAACAGGTGGTATCATTTTCACTGTGATTTGGAGTCCGTAAGAGCAAGTATGCACACACATACACACTGATCAAAACTCTACATGGTGACTAAACATGACTAACCATTACCCACAGACCCTGCTTGCCCTGTTAACATTACTGAATACTGAAATACTCTTCTTTTCTGACAGCACATACACTTTCTCTCATCGCTCACCTGTCTCTTGCATGCAGTACACATCCACACACGAGGAGGCACATCCACACACACGCATGCACGCTCACACTCCCCTGAGACAAACTGTACCCCAGCTAGAATAGAAATGTGACAATGCTGATGGCTGCCAAAGCCTTTTAAACCCTCGTGGCTCTGCTGTTAATGAAGCAGCCCAGAGAAAATCCCTGTAATAAAGGCACTGCACACTTAATCCACACACACACACACACACTGTTGCCTCTCTCTCTCACACACACACACAAACACACACACACACAGTAGCACAAAAACTTCAACATTTAAACAGCAGGCAAAGGAGTTGTCAGACACTGTCTCTCATATAATATCCCTGACACACACACACACACACACACACACACACACACACTGACTTCCTCACACAAACAGGGGAATCACAATCATAAGCCAGAGATTGGCATGGCATTGGCCCGGCCCCATTAAAGAGAATTAGTGAATGCATTAATGAGCTGATGGAAATGTGACCACAACCCATCTGCATATCACTGTCCTCTCTATTCTGTAAGCATACACACAAGCTACCCTGTTTTTCTCCGAAGTGACCAGTTTGCTGTAATTAAACTTCTTTCTTTTACTGCAATTTGATTTTCATTTACTCACTCAGCGCCCTATTTTCCTCTCTTGTAATCCCGTCTTTTATTCATTCAGTACCTCTTGTGAGTCATGATGGATAATTTCTTTTCTGTCTTTCTGTCCTTAGATTTGTTCCAGAAGCTGTTTCGCCAGGACCTGCTGGTGGCCAGCTTGTTCCGCAATTTCCTGTTAGCAGAGAGAATAATGAGGTCGTACAACTGTACCCCGGTCAGCAGTCCCCGCCTGCCCCCTACATACATGCACGCCATGTGGTAAGACACACAAGCAGAGCCCGGTGCTTGATTTCCTCCACACAGATGCCATTGTTTTGTAGTTAGTCGTGTATTCTAAATGGTTACTTTTAAACAGCCATTTAGAGATAAAAAAATGCATTTAACTTGGCCACTTGTGCTCAATTGGCTAATATGCCTTATTAGCCCAAAAGTTATGGCCTCATTTATTGTATGACAGCGTAGTTTGTGTTTCTGTGGGTATTTAGTTTGGTTTTGTATTTTGTCTTATTTCCAAAGGTAATTAGAAAAACAGACCATGTTTTGCCAGTGTGACATATTTATACCAGTGCTTGCAAATCTGCTTTACAAAGCTCAGTAATACACATACTCACATATATGAATATCGATCTTGACGTTTAGCCTAGCTTAGCATCTGGAAGCAGAGGAAGCCAGATACATTTTTTAAGTTGCTTTTTGTTATTTTACAACATGACAAAACATACCAATTTAACAGTTGAAAGGTGTATTCTTCCTCACATTATTTCTCATTTACACCGATCGTTTCAAGTGAAACAAGGACAAAAATGGTCCATCACCCATTTAAACACACATGCCAGTGTATTATGGTACATTTCCCCCATATTTCAAGCCACATATTTCATACTAAACAGAAAAAACAAATTAACTGCTTTAATTAATCTCACAACTCAAAATAGATGGCGTTGAGGAAGTGTGAGCCAAAACATGTAGGTGTTTTATTTGCTTCTGCAAAGCATATGCATACACCTCGTTCATGCTAAGTATAATTTCCATGATTTCGTTTCTTGGTTATTTCTGTATAACCAAGAACCTGAATGCCATGAATACACACACAAGACAATATGGAGTAACGGCATTGCTGTTTCTTCAACCGCCCACACACACACATGCACGCATAACCCGCAGCCAAATATGTCCATCTTTGACTGAAAGCTACAAAATAACACCTGGGGTATATTAAAGGACTCTGTGAGGAATGTTGGTAAACTCTAGCTGTGGTCGACTTGGCAGATTTAGCTTATAAACAAAATATAAACCTTTACCAGTCTACAAAAAATATAATATTTGTATTAGTAAACAATAGAAATCTAAGAGTTACAGTGTTGTTCCTTTTACTCTCACATTTTTTAAGTTACTTTTTGTTCAATTGTGAAAAAATATCAACTTTAGTTGTTAACACACAATTACAGTACCTTGTGTTTAGAGTGCATACAAACTGACTTGGAACATTTTATTACAACAACAAACACTTTGAAACAATTATCCTGATGGGAAAAAACAAACAAAATGTACCTGGCAAATATGTTTATGTTTTCACAGATAGAAAAAAAGTAATAGTTTTGCCAGGACAATTTTTCTATTTGTTCCCACCTGTTTCAAAGATATAGGAAAATTAAAGCTAGGGTTGGTAATGTATATTTTAAAAAAATATATACATTTTTCATATTTTATTTACATCCTGACAGCAATCAATAAATCTAATGCTCTGACAAAAAAAGAGGAAGACATTGGATGTCTGTTGCTGTCTAAGGACTGTAATAAGCCCCTTCAATCATTTCATTTGTCCCGAATGAAATTGTTGGATGGACTACAGGCCTACTTAGCTGCCTTCCTGTCTAACTGCAAGGACTCTGGCCGTGCCCTCACTGCCCGTTGCCGGAGTCTTCCACAAGCTGCTAGCACAATAGTTCATTGTTTACGTTCATAATGATAATGTTAGAGAGTGGCTTTGAAGGACGGGCTGTCAGTGTTGCTGACATTCTTGCCAGAGTCTTTAGGAGCTAGTGCTGCTAGCTACGTTCATTGGAAAAGAGTTGGCATCACCAGGCTGGGTTTTTTGGTTGGATACTTTAAAAACCTGGCATACTCTTGCTGGTTCCTCCAATGTTGCCAACCCCAGATTTAAGGCACTTAGAAAGGTTTGCTGGCAACAACTTTTTTTTCACCTGTTAGGTCATAAACACAGGAGAGAGAACCATTTAAATCAGACTTAGAAAATGGTTCACCAGACTTTTTTTTTTTTCTCACTTCCGTAGAGGTTCTTGCACTGTTTTACAATTTACTACCATCTCCCTGATTTGACCTCAATGTATTCTCATTACTAGATGTGTATACAGACACACGGAGGTGCTGAAAAGCCAATTATCCCATCATCTATCTCCCTTTAGTTACGCAGATAATTCTCCCACTATCTATTGTTTCTCTTCTTGGTCGTCTATAAATGCATTCCCCCATCTCTCCCACTCATTATCTGGCTCCTGTAAAAAAACAAATAAATAAATAAAGGTCTCTTCGCCTCGAGGAGCGACTTGTTGTGCAACACCCTGACATCACTCGTTATAAAGAACACTGCTCCTTGAACAAGCAATAGTCTTTCTTTCTTTCTCTCAACCATTATTTTAGATTGTGGGTATATTGCAGTGTTTACCGCCAAAGAAATTGGGAGTTGCACTTTGTTTCACAGCACATGCAGTATTAAGGTGGACAGAAATAACGACAGAGAGGTGTTTTAAGAGGGTAGGAAACAAGACTGAGAGAACGATAAAAACGAGGATGGAGAGGGTGTATTAAGCAATTTGGGGGCTCGTTGATCGATGCTAGTGCCCAAACACAAACAGCAATTGTTATTCAAATGGAGCAGAATAGCGGAGAGCTTATAAAGCCAAGGCTGATTAGTCCCTTGTGGGCAGTTAAAGTGTGGGTGTGCATCTCTTTTTATATGTGTGTTTGTGAGTGCGTGTCGCTGCACCACTCTCTGCATGGAACAGGGAAAAGAGCTTAGTCAGCCACCAACTGGTCCCCTACACTCCTCTGTTATCGGCCGTCCCCTCATCTCACACACCATGCACACTAAGACAGACAGGTTTTGGTGATGAGTTACTCATTCGTATTGGCAGGCTCATTCGAGTTAATGCTGTCATCACGAATGGTGCAGCAGCCTCCTCCCTGTGAGCGTGTCTTTGCTGATTTGGCTGCTCTATCTGCTTGTTTCCTCATCGCTGGATTACATAAACTCCAATACAGATGGATATCTGTTTGCAAAATTTCTGCACAGGTTCCAATTTCAGTACTTCAAGTTTTGAAACCTAAAAAAATAACTTTGTAATCTTTTGTTGTTGAAGGACAGCTAATTTGGAGACTATTAATTACCTTTCTTCTGTCATCTTGATTTTGTAATGTAAATGAAAGGCTTATTTTAAGATTTCATTATTTCAGTGTTTTCTATATCTGTGGATACCTCGATATGACCTAAACATTTACTGTGGTACAAAATAAGCAAAAGATAACATCCAGCTCTACCTTCAACTGTTAAATGTCTTAAAATGTCTATTGCATCGCAAGAAGAAACAAAATGTACGTATTTCATTCGGTAACGTACTTAACCTACATAATACCTCACCAAGTAGCTTTGTTTGGATTCATAATGTTAACTACATGTCTAAAGCTGCGACAGTAATCCTGGAGAAAATAGGCTTTCCTTGAAACATTGTTGAGAATGCAGCTTTGTTGTTTGGGAACGTAAATTTTAGGAGACGGGGTTGTAAAAGAATAAAATGCAACACATAACAAATGCAGGCCTAAAGAGAACAAACTGATAAAATTTTACTAAAGGATGGATACAGAATCAGCAGCTATACAAGTTGGGTATTAAGTGGCACCACTAGTTCATCACGTAGACATGTGATGGAGAGATAACAGGCTTCCTTTGAGAGGAAATCATTTGCTTGGCAGTGGTCAATCCAGAGAACACATGATGTGGGCACCATCACAGACAATATCGAAGATATTTGAATCTGACACTCTGTTTCTTTTCTAATCAGCCTTTAGCTAATATTGGAAGAGTATAACCACCATACCCTTGCATACTTTGTTCCCACACCATGAACCTACCAAAGGGTTACTGGTTCCAGTGTGTAAATTACTTTCCCTCTCAACAACTACCATATAGACGATATAGAGTAAATTGGCATGTTAGTGATTTTGACGCAATGCCGTATACAAGCACCTCCTGTAGCAGATGCTCAGCAAAAAAGTTAAATAGAGCAAAAATATCACACAAAATACTACACTGGCTTGCATCTAGAAGTAGCATGCATCTTTAATGTGTTTTAAAGATTAATACAATAAAAGCATATACAACATGAATACAAATACAAGCAGTGATCTTTGCTTAAAATCTGTTGGATAATCTTTGGTTAAAACCAATGTGTATTTTCTCTAAAGTCAAACCTCTATATGGGAGCAAAAACATTGCATAAAGAGTAGCACCTGTTTTTAATAATGCAGTAATGTCTGTTTTGCACTGTTGACATTTTTTTCTGGAATACCTGCTGCAGTGGCAGCTGAATTTATAATTTCTCCCATTTAGCCTGAACTTGTACCAGATGACAAATTCCAAGTTGCTGGAATTAATTGCCTCTTTGTTAACTTTTAGAACAGTTTAAGTGGTTGATGGAGTAAACTTTCCGTCTACTTTTTCAGTTAGACAGCAATGTTTTTTTCAGCCACACAGTGTTCTATATATATTGAGTGACAGCAGTTGATCGATTGTAGCTTTAAATATTAAATTAACTTTTAAAAATTGGTCCAGTATTGAGAGAGTACACTGCAGCTATCAGCTGCTAAACTTCTGAGTGAAGCTTATAAAGTATGAAGAACAAAGACATTCTTTCTGTCCTAATTAAAACACCAGTAACATTGGGGCTTATCAATACTCCAGTAATTTAGCACCAGGGCCTGTTCAGTACCGGGTTTCGATACGCATCCCTACCTTCAAATAACGGAAAATGCGAATGGCTCTCGCCAGAGCCAGTGTGCGTTCTGGGCTGCTGTAGAAACATGGCGGTGCAAGATGGCGGACTCCGTGTAGGAGGACCATCTCACGTAAACGAAAGCACTATGATTCTTAGCAGGGGGTTATACACTAATTAATACATAGTTATGAATATTATATTCCAATGCTGTCAATTAATCCCCCTAAATGTTACACACTGTTCCTTTAACACTAATACACTCTATTATATTGCTCCCAGCTTATGGTGAAAGCTGTTTAAGCAACAGAAAGAGTCTGCGTGAACTCCATGTCATTCGTTCAGCATCACATTACATGCACATCACATTAGTGCATCTACTCTTTGAATGTGACTCAAACCCTGACTTATACTAACCGAGAGGCAAAAGCCCCATCAAGGCCCCGAGCTTAATGTTCTGAAAGAAAAAAGAGCAAGGAAAGTGGAAGGAAAGAGAGAAAGACGGAAGGACTTGAAAAGCTGTGAAAAGGTTTGTTACAAGTTACATAACCCCATGAATTAAATATGACCATGAGAGAACGCTGGTGTTTAGAAAGGGATTAAAGGCTTCTTGGTGCCCTCCAGGACCTCGAACTGGGAATTTAAAGAGCTGTATGTGCACGAGGAAGATGCGAGGAAGCAAACGTGAGCTGAGGAGAATGAGAGTGGGAAAGGGAAAGCCATGACCAAGGGTCATGGTGCTGGAATGCACCATGACCAAGGGTCATGGTGCTGGAATGCACCATGACCAAGGGTCATGGTGCTGGAATGCACCATGACCAATGTTTCTTTGGGGTCATAATGCAATAATAGCAACAAATGTGTCTGGTTTTGAGGTTATTCCTTATGATAAATGTCGTAATCTTGATGAAGTTTATGTGTGTCACCTCTCTACAGGCAAGCGTGGGACCTGGCCGTGGACATATGCCTCTCTCAGCTGCCTACCATCATTGAGGAGGGCACCGCCTTCAGAGTAAGTGTGTGTGTGTGAGTGTGTATGTGAGAGAAAATCCACCCTGCAGACTGTTTCAGCTTTTCTTGAAAGGTGGAAAGTTGTTCCCTTTGTGATGGGTTAGTGTTTACTGGTTATCTAGCATTGATGGTTGGCTCTTATTGTGGACCTGTCCACCGCTCGACGCCTGATAACATCGACAGTTCTTGTTTGCACTGCAAGTTCTCCACCACCAGCATCTACAGCATCTCTACTAATCTCTCAAACACACACACACACACACAGTCATTCCCAGTGGATAACATTGTGAAACGTCAGGTCTAATAATTCAAGTGTAAGTGCCAAATAAAAAATAGTTGCTAAAACCACTGGCCCCTGCACTTTCAGCCAGTTTATTGTTATATGTACTGACACGGCAGGGGACTGTGATGGAGATGCTGAGTGTAATGGAAACACGCCGCGGGAGGCTGATTGAACTGATGACTTAATATATCTGGGTCAACAGAAGACATTTTTGTGTGTGAGCTTGTGCAGACACGCACTCAGCAAATGCTAGACGGACCAGAGAGCACCAACATGTGCTTTGTAATCAGAAAACTCTGACAACAGAGAAAGTGGGACCAGAGCGACTTTCCTTGATGTAGCACTTTTATCTGGGCCTTTTCTCTCCTCCGCCCGGCCCTCAGAGGTGGGCATCTTCTCCATTGCTCCCCTGGGGGCAGTTTTCCATCCTCTATCCTCCTCCCCTTTTTCCTGCTCTCGGACCGAAAACACTTACCGGCACCGTAATTGAGCCTCTGTGGATCACTAAAAGAGATCTTCCCTCTCGCTCCATCTTTCAGGAGCCTTTAATCCTTCTCCGATGGGCTTCAACTGTTTACCTCATTTTCTTGGTCTTTGTCACAACTGATTTAAGTCAACAGTAGATTTTACAGATTCAGTTTTATGTTCTTCTTTTGACCATCGAGTATAAGCAACACCGCACCCTTACTATCCCTTAAACCTAAATCATTTTTTTTGTTTCTTCTTCTGCCATGTTGATATAAAAAACTCCAAGAAAAAGACAAATTGAAAATAAGCATCAAATGCAGAAAAACATATATATGGTCCTTAATATAGCCTGCAGAAACCCTGATTAACTCATATTTTCATTTAAAGTTAATAGAGATGCTGGAATTGAGTTTTAAATGAATCAGTAAAGCACAAGCTCTTTGTAATAAAGATGCCAATACAACATTATCTATCATAAAGCATCAACTAAATATGATTTTAAGTCGGCTTAGTGAATCAATACAGAGTTCCCATCCCAAAATGCAACATAATACCAACTATCTGAGGCGTTCTAAAATCAGGAGCTCAATCTCTAAGCTCAACTTATCACCACACAGCACTTGTTTTATGAAACCCTGAGTATGCAAGTGTTGGTTTGATTATGCATAAATTAATTTAGCAATTCAGCCGCAAAGCGTTGATATTTTCCCACTCTACATCAATCAACAGTCTATACAACGCTGTTGTAATAACTAGTGCAATATTAACACTCGGCGTGATCAAAAACTCTGCGGCCAGCAACCAATCAATCAGGCAAACTGCCATGGCAGCGGAGAGAGGGGGGCGGGAAGGTGATCATGATAGATCAGGATTTATGTCGTTACTGCAATGCAGTGTCACTTCTGAGCTCATTATGTCAGAGCTCTCATGAAAGGATAAGCTAGTCACTGCAGACTGGCTCATTACCACTTGTGTGTGTGAGAGAGAGAGAGAGAGAGAGAGAGAGAGAGAGAGAGAGAATGACTAAGCACGATAAATTCTTTAAATCATTTTGTGTATGTTTGGTGTCCACAGCACAGTCCCTTCTTTGCGGAGCAGCTGACAGCGTTTCAGGTGTGGTTGACGATGGGCGTGGAGAACAGAAACCCTCCTGAGCAGCTCCCAATCGTACTGCAGGTACTAACACACACCACACACAAACCTCCGGTCTCTTTCTCCACTTTTATTATATTTTCATTTCATTAGCATGACCTGTAAATACATAAATGCAAAGCTTACAAAGAGAGAAATAGGAGATAAAGGGGGAAAAAAGCGATGACGATTTTAATATTTGAATGTTTAAAATGAATTATAAACAGTGAACTTGAAAGAGAATTATTATAATCAGAACGTGACCTGGGGCGTTTTGCAGCCGAGTGTGAAGCGGTCGAGATGAGAGTCAGTACCTCCAAGTTGGAGGCCGTGGTTCTCTTCCGGAAAACGATGGATTGCACGCTCCATGTTGCGAGGGAGTTCAAGTATCTCAGGTTGTTGTTCACGAGTGAGGGTAGAATGGAGCGTGAGATGAACAGGCAGTTTGGTGCGGCGTCCCTAGTGCTGTGGCCACTTTATCAGACCGTTGTGATGAAGAGGGAGCTGAGCTGGAAGGCAAAGCTCTCGATTTATCAGTCCATCTACTTTCCACTGCTCACCTATGGTCATGAGCTTTGGGTAGTGACCAAAAGAATTAGATTGTGGATATAAGCGGCCAAAATGAGCTTCCTTCGTAGGGTGGCTGGGCTCAGCCTTGGAGATAGGATGAAGGAGCTCAGACGTCTGGAGGGAGCTCAGAATAGAGCCGCTGCTCCTTCGCATCGAAAGGGGCCAGCTGCGGTGGTTCAGGCATCTGATCAGGATGCCTCCTGGAGGTCTCCCTTTAGAGGTTTTCCGGGCACGTCCAACTGGTAAGAGGCCCCGTGTTAGACCCAGAACACGTTGGAGAGATTACATATCTCGTCTGGCCTGGGAACGCCTTGCTGTTCCCCAGGAGGAGCTGGAAAGCGGTGCTGGGGGGAGGGATGTCTGGAACACCCTCCTAACCCTCCTGCCCCTGCAACACGACCCAGATAAGCAGAAGCAAATGGATGGATGGATTATAATCGTCGGATATCTATGATGGTGAACTAGGGCCATTGTAGGTATAAACATATTTTTGTAGAGGCGGGGTAGGGGGAAAATATTCCATGAAAAGAGATTAAAGTTCACAAATTTACAAGTAAAAACCTTGAATTTTCACTGACATTAAGAAGTCACACATTTTCAAGATAAAAATGTGGGAAAATAGTGAGAGCTTTTGTCATCACTTCACTTTGCAATGTTCAACCTCATCACATGATTCCTGCAGTGGATAACCTTATCAAATGATATCTTGCAATCAGATTCAGCAATAAAGAAAAACGTGTGATTCTAGCTCAGAATCACTATATTATCCGAAGCATCTTGACTTTGAAGAGACATTGCAGTGAGTTGGGCCTATCAGAAGAAAACAACTTAGTGATTTGAATTTTCTTCTTGTAAATTTAACACTTTAATCTTCGAAAAAAATAGATTTTATTATTTTTGCCATTTCTCTCAACCACAACTCATATGTGAGTCCATTTTCCACACTCACAAGATGAACTTTAGGCTGTGAGCGGATCAGGTTCCCAGAAGCCTCCGGGAAACAATGGAAGGTGCTTTTTCAATATGTGTAAAGTTTACTGCATGACTAGAAAGAGAATTGCCGATCATAGACTTACATTCATTACAAACAGATAAAACATGAATAAGAAAACGGTGTAACTTTTCCCTGGAATAGATAGTCTGTTTAAAGTGTATACGACTATGTCTGACGTTGTCTTTAAACATTCGTCCCGGACCTCATCTTTTGTTTCTACATTCATCTCATCCGCTCACGCCTGTTTAATTCCTGATGTGATCAACAGGATCTGATTTTTTTTTTTTTTTTTTTTTTCGGGAGTAACAGGATCAAATATATTTATGGCTTAAAGGGACTCATGCTCGTTTAAGATTTCAAAGATAGGCATATGCTTCCTGACATCGTCACAAATTATTATAATACCTTTTAAATCAACTTTGAAAACTTTTAGGATATTAGGGATATTGTAAATAGCTCCTAACTGTACAAATGATGGAAACCTCCCCTTAACAATATAGGTCACATATGTTACCGAAACCTTTCTGTTTCCACGTGAGGAGAAAAATCAATATCATTCAGGCCAGATCCACACAAATTTGTGTTGAAATCTGCAGGAGGAGAGCTAGTCACCGCTGGGCAGCACAGTCCTGCTTGACTAAATAATGGAGCTAACGGCTGTTAACAGAGGTTTGATTGATGCTTTCAAGCTCTGTTCAGTAAAAATGACTAGTGGGTGAAGAAGGTAAATTATAACATTATCGTGGTGTGTTCAAATCTTATCATCTAAAATTTGGTTTTGAGGAGAAACATGGAATGAAATTAAATTTTATAATTGGAGCAAATATTTGATTAAAAATACAATGATTTATTCCTAATAAGTTGAATTGTGTGTTTTTATTCAAACAAACGCTATAGATGAGAATAACAACTGATTGGTTGGAGATGTAAAAAAGGATGTCGTCAGCGTATAGCAAAAGGTGATGTTTTTATCAGTACATGTCGATGGCAGGTATTCAAGGGTTCTGTCTGATGCTAGCAGCCAAAGGTTCAAAGAGGAAACAGACATGTGAAGAGAGGATGGCCTTTGCAAAAGGGCGAGACATATTTTGTGTAGTAATAGAACTTTGGTTTCAATAGGGGCAGAATTGGGCGATATGATGAGAGCCCCTAATGGTCACGGCCTGGTTTTGAAATCAGTGAGGTGTTGGCTTTATAGAGGGGGGGCGTCAGCCGAGAATGATTCAACATGCATAAAAGCAGAGAGCCAAACACTGAAGAATTTAGCCATCCTAAAGCAATCCTTGTTGATTCTGTGATTTTCTATGGTAATCAGCATTATAATTATGATTCACTGTGCACTATGAAAACAATTTTAGTCGTAGTCAATATTGATGGCTTTAGGACCCCTGATTAGAGATTTCCATAAAACAAAAAGACACAAACTAAAGTGAATTGTAGAGAGTAAATATGAAATACAGAAAAAACACATTTGATTAAAGAAAATGGAAAAAATGCCCAGCTGTTTCATATGTCTCATATCTCTATGTTTTGTATCATTATGTTTGTCAGTATTCACACTAATCTGTTGTGCTCTGTCAGTAGCCTTACCTCGCTCACATCACCAATCAATCATTACGGTAATTGACACCTATATCTGAATGCTGAAATGACATTTCTTTAACAGATAGATGAAGCCACCAATGTTGCAGATTCCATGTTTGAAAATGGCTTCATTCTCCATTATGCACAAGCAAACTCTGCAAGAGCACCTTTATTAAACGCAAACGTCACCTGCCAAGAGTCCACCATTAGATTAGGATACTACCGTTACAGCAATACATTTTATACTGTTAACTGTTGCTGCTTCCTTTCTTTCTTTCTTTATCCTCATCCCTCTCCTTTATTACTGCAAGTTTCCACTTTATGTCTTTAAGTGAGCTATGTACTGCAAAATCCTTGCTGTAAACATTTGCAGGTCTATTTTCTTCATTACAACACTGCAACAAAACCTGTGACAAGAACAGTGACTGCTGTTTCCTGTTGTGGCGTTAAATTAGTTTGGGATGCTTTAATTGCCACATGCTTTAGCTGTTGAGCTACAGCAGTTACCTCCCTTTTCCTCCTCCTCTTACCATCACCAACATCCCATGGGGTTGTACAGTTGTGGTGTTGCATTATATTGCAGCCTGGTGGTGGTGTGCCGCTGTCCGTGTTGGATGTTAATTTCCTGCTTACTCAGCGCACTTCGAGCTGCAGTCCGTCCATACAGCAGTTCTGTCGGGACCCGTTAAAAGCCGAGGAAAAGGCAGACTGATCGGGGAGCGCTGGATGGTGTGTGTGTGTGTGTGTGTGTGTGTGTGTGTGTGTGTGTGCGCAGTTGTGGATTTGAAGAGCGAGAGAGGAAGCAAAGCAGCAATAGCCTTTAAGATTACGCAACATTATGCAGCTTTACATCGTGAGGGCAGAGTAATCTCAAGGCTCCTTCATGCTCTCTGATGTAACGGATGGACACATAAACAGGTTTTATACCTTATTAAGCACACAGTTGCATAAGAATGAAGTTTAAAAAAGGAGGGTATTCTTGGAGGATTTACGATTTATTGCCAAAATATATAATCTGGCTCCATTTGAAAGATGCAATGAGCAACAAGAAATGGGCAACAGAGAGTAGTCCATCAATAATGCTCTTTAATGAAATGAGCAAAGGGAGGACAACGAAGCTCAGGGATGCGAGATACGGTGCGGCGTTGTCTTGACAACAGGCATTTCATCCAGGAAGGATTAACCGATTTTGCAAAGGGATTACAACGTCTCATTAATTATGATGTTATGGTAACAGCGGCACATTCACATTCATTTGGCATTAGGCCTCTGTGACGTGATTGAGGCATGAATGTGAGTCATATAACAACATGACGGTGTGTGTCGTGTGCTCGTACACACACAGCATGATGATGGAAAGTGCTTACTCATCGCACTGAAGGAGATTGCAGTCACGGTGTTACGCGGATAAGGAATTGAGACAAATATTCACACACATGCGTTTTTTAATATTGCAGCATTGCTCAGGGATACTCAGCCCTATTATGATATAATGAACATATATGTTAATGTGCTAATTTAATCATGTGCAGAAAATTTGCTTATGTGTGTGTGACTGTGTGGAAAATATTCACGGACATCTGTGCCAAATCTACAGAAGACCTAAGAGGCAAGTGGGGAGGGAAAGAAAAGTCTGGCGATCCATTTTCTAACTCTGATTGAAATTGTTTTCTCTCCTGTTTATGGGAAAAAAGTGTTATAGAGCACACACCTACATCACACACACAAATGTGCATGTTCCCACGCTCTTCTTAAGAGCAGGAGGTAACCCTGGGCCGGTCTTCCCCTGGCCTCCTCCTGTTTGTGTGGTCACGCACACCAGAGTAAAGTCACGGAGAATGCTGATAATACATAATGTGTTGGTGGAAATGTGTGTGTGTGTGTGCGTGTGCGTGCGTGCGTGCGTGCGTGCGTGCGTGCGTGCGTGCGTGCGTGGACCTGTATTCCTCCATATGCTTGTTCCCACACACACAGTGGGACAGTCAGATGGGTGTGGACCGGTGTCCATCCCTCACACAGACTCTTTGCTGCACTGAGCTTAATGCTGCATAAACTACACACACACATACATATACATTTTTAGCACATACCATATGCCTCCTTAAAATAGTTCTCCTTGGCCCAAAGTGTTACATCGTGATTCCATTTGGCATCCCTGTCATACACGTATACCAAAATGTACACGCATGCACTATTGTATTGATCTAAGTGTCTTCTTAAGAAGCCAAGTGAAATGTCAGCCAAGGACGCACCCAATCGCCCACACATGTATGCTTGTGCACACAAAGTAAACAAGTGCGACCTGGTGCCAGTGTGTGGCCAGTAGTGGTGTGAGAGCCACCTGTTTCACTCCACCTCCTCAACCTCTCTGCAGTTTCTCCTGCTGTCCTTCCTTCCCCCTCCTCCTCCTCTCCTTCCTCCTTTAATCTCGGGCTTCCTCTTGGTTTGGAGGCAGCACAGTTGACCTCTGCTCTCTTTCAGGTCCTCCTTAGTCAGGTTCATCGGCTGCGAGCACTCGACCTGCTCGGACGGTTTCTGGATCTTGGTCCCTGGGCCGTCAGTCTGGTACGTTAGATATGGTGTCCCTGTTTTTTAAATGTAATTCATTCAAAATAACTCTCGACTTCTTCCATAACAATAAACAGACATTAAAGCTGGGGTAGACTTGTAGAGTAATATTGATAATAATATTATTAATAAGTAATATTGTTAATAGTTTGCCCTTCTGCTTAGCGTAGCCGTTAACTCACAGAATTGCAGCATTGTCACATAAAATGAAAACTGCATTGCTAGATACAAGGAACCAAAGAAGTGAGATAATATGTCTCGTGATGCGCAGACCCTTTCATGTGGAGTCGCTGCAAGATGTTAGATGTTCCTAAAGCATAGGTTGACCAGTTTTTTTCAGGCCTAAAACAATAGTCAGGTACCCATATGAATGTTGAAGCAGGTTTTGCATGCTGTAATCATTCCCTGTGTACGTGCTGGCCATTAACAGATCCCTGCTTAATGTACTTTCAATGTAAATCATGGGGGACAACATCCACAACAATCGTCCTTTTTTGCAACAAAATGTATTCAAAAATGTATCTGTAGCCAACATGAGGCTTAGTATACTATCTGTTTCCCCTTGCCTCCAGTCTCTATACTAAGCTAATATAAACGAGTTGTTTCCTAACTCCAGCTCCATACTGAATGCACAGACATGAGTGGTATCAATCTTCTCAGCCAAGTCCTGTTTTAAAAGAAATGAAATCAAATAACCTTGCAAGCCAGAATAATGCCAGTGATCTGCACTTATTTGTTACACACTGAGCCAGTTCCAGCTCTTACTTCCTTGTGCTGTCACTCACAGTCCAAGTTGGAAGCATACTGAATGCTCCAAAAGTCAAGCTCAGCTTATTGACAAAGCAGAAAGAAAGGACAGACATTTGAACTCAAGTCTGTCACATTTGAGATTATCCTCCCAGCTCCTGCTCAGCTAAACTACATTCCTGTGTACATGTTTACATTTCAGACCAACGGTGTGTCCTGGTGGCTAAACACATTCAGCCGCAAGGCCTGGATCATAAACTGCAATATCAATACTGCTTTATTAACATCAGTGCTGTGTGTGTGTGTGTGTGTGTGTGTGTGTGTGTGTGTGTGTGTGTGTTTGTGTTTGTGTTTGTTTGTTTCCAGGCCCTGTCTGTGGGGATCTTCCCCTACGTATTAAAGCTGCTCCAGAGCTCAGCCAGAGAGCTGCGGCCTCTGCTGGTTTTCATCTGGGCTAAAATCCTCGCCGTAGACAGTGTAAGTTATGTAAAAACACTCACAACAATTAAAATCTTGCTGCCTCATCTTTTCAAAACCCTTATTGTCTTTTTTGTTTCATCAGCTTTTTTACGTCACAGGTTTACTGTTGTTATATGAATTCTGTTGCACATAGTTGACAACACAAGAAATAAAGGAAAACAATGTATTTGGTAGAGATGCACCGATCGATCGGAAGCCGATCAAAACCGGATGGTTTACCTTGAGAAGTATTTAAATAATCCTGTTCATTTAAATTGCATTTTTTCTGCAAATAACAACTTTAGATGACAATAAGAAAGTTAAACGATAACATTTAGTATTTTTGGCGGTTTACACTGACTTCGGGACGGTTGATATTATTTTTCGTCACAGTTGCAGGATGGTGGTGAAAGTAGTCATCCTACAGCATTACTGTCAATTACATGTCTTAGAAAGAAAATCGGAATCGTTATAAATTATTTAAAATCTTCATATCATTTAAATTACTATGTTAAACTTGAAGGGATATTTCGGATTTTTAATGTGGGAACTTTTGATAAGTCAGTGTATCAACAGTCGGCACGCCTCCAGGCTTCAGTTCCCTGTTGGAAAGGCTGATGGCGATGTAAAGCTGTGAAAATATTGTAAATACAGCGTACACTTAATCTGTTAATGATTTTTTTCCGGTGTGCGTTTTGTTAAGGGGGCTAAAATACGTTTTGCTGCCCCCGTTCACAGCAGTACATTGCTTTGCTCCTGTGCTGGTATACATGTCTGTTTCTCCAAACTGGGGGCATACAAGCCCATTTAAAATAATCCAAACTATCCCAATGTTTTTTATTAAAAAGAATAATTTGTGTTCCACTTCCTTTGCGTAACCGCGAGTGATATTTCATATTGCAGCACACTGAAAAACATGAATAAATCCAAGAGCACGCAGGAGTAAATCATATCATTTTTTTAAGTTCAATTATTCAGAATTATAGACGATACACATCTTGATTCTTACACTCTTCAATTTTATTTTCCCAAACAGCTTCATTGCGAATTTTCACTAAAAACACTCAACAGTGTGACATTAGTCTGCATTCATGGTTTGGAGGTGCCACCATGGGAGAAATTAACAAATACTCCCTATGACATGCTGTACGAGTGGAAACTGACCTTACGCAACATCTGCAATAGAGTGAACCCTCTTCTTTGTCTCCTCTCCGCTCTCGCTCCCTATCTGTCTCTGCAGTCATGTCAAGCTGACCTGGTGAAAGACAACGGACACAAGTACTTCCTGTCAGTGTTAGCTGACAGTTACATGCCAGTGAGTGTCCACCATGAATGTAATATAAAGGAATATGTCTCTTCTTTTCTTTTGGTTTTGACACTTAGCTGAACTTAACTGAAAGGAGTTGAACAGAACATCTTCAGACAGTAGTATGACAGTAGACACACTGACATAAGATATGATCTCTCAGTTCTTTTCTTTGTTACAGGCTGAGCATCGAACCATGGCTGTCTTCATATTGGCTGTTATCGTCAACAGCTACAACACAGGGCAGGTACGGATGTGTGTCTCAGCATGTTTGGTTATGTGTGTATTTCTGAGCCGCTGTCTGTGTGTTTGCTAGAAGCCCAAAGAGAGAACGTACCGAATTATTAATTTACTTTCCTCACCAGTACCTCAGCGGGTTCTTCCGGGGCCAGACATCACTTTGAGAAATTACTCTTATGGCCCATCGTGTTTTTCCGGGAGATATTTGTTATGTGGCAGTTTTCTCACCAACGTTGAGCCACCTCAATAATCGCCATTTCTATCCCAGCCACCTCCATGGTGACACTTTATCACTGCAAGTGTCACTTCGGTCTGTTCCTGGCCTCCTGTGTTCAATCCCAGAAGCCTTTTGTGCCGGATGCTGATCAAACGTCCACGGGTGGGGTGTTGGGATGATGAGCTTGTCATTTCATGAACTACACACACACACACACACTGACACACTGTTCCACAAAAAAATATCCCACCATTACTCCCTTTTGCTTTTTTTCTCGTGCTCTCTGCAGTTATCTTTCTGTCAAGTTCTGAATGTAATGTGGCTGACATATTTTTTCTTCATTCACCTGACAGTACTGCTCTCACTTAACATTATATAAATGTGACAAATCAGAACAGCTATTTGTGCTCTCAAGCTCAGAAACAGCTATTCTTCTTCCACTACCACTGTTCCTAAATGCTCCTGCCTCTCTCAAAGGCCTGTAAATAATAGATGCTCCCAACATTACAGAGACTCTCAGCCTGCTCCACATCTCCATTATTTGTCCCTCTCACTTTCAACAACAGCACACATTACTGCGGTAAGGTTGTTGCAAACATACACACAGACCACTGTCATCTTAATATTCCAGCTCTTGGAGTTGAGCTGGGAGGCTCGCTCAGAGCGCAGTGAATGGCGCAGTAACAATCTGTTGCACATGAAGAAAGTGGAGGAGGCACATTGTGTCTGTGCTGATAATGATTGTGACGTCTTGATCTGTAGTCGACAAAGACAGATTCTGAGCACACTAAAATAGGTCCACTTGTTGTGGTTCATGTTGGTAGGAGTTGTTGTGTTAAAGGCTTTTATGTTCACATGTTGTCACACAGAAATTAGATTTACAAAAAACGTCCTGGTTACCATAAATGCCTTTACTTAAGTCCACTGCAGAATAAACCAGACCAGAAGTATATATTTGTTATGCACTTCCTCTATGTTTACTGGTTGCCTTGATACATTCAAGACTTTGTAGGCAAACATTCACACAGCACTAATGTCATACTTTGCTCTTTCATTGATTCCACTTTCAATTTCTTTGATCGGTGATGAGCTACTCTCAATTAAAGTTAGTGAACGCTTGCAGGTGTTTGGCATTGCAACACAGGAAAAGGGAGCAACTGCAAGGTTATTACTATAAAACATCTACATAGGAAGTGTTGCATCTTAACAGCATCTTAACACGGATAAAGAAATCTGCTAAATGGAACAGACTGGAATTAATTAACAAATATACACAACACTTCCTCTGCATTGTTTACAGTGGTACAGATTTGCAGTAGATTATTGCCTCCCTTTCCTGGTATGCTTTGGATGTGAACTACTTCTGCATTGAGTTTACTGAGTCGTTTAACACAGATTGGAAAAGATGGTCTGGTAGAACAGCCTGAAATCAATTAACCAATGAAAACTCAACCCTTCCTGTACAATGTTTTCCAGTTACCTGACGTTTCTGTTATGCTTTTAATATGAAACTTTAACTGGTAGTATTTAATTTATTGAGAATAGTTGAACATATATTTTGAAAAATAGCAAAGTAGAAAAGAGTGGAATTAATTAAACACATCACCTCATTTTTCACAGTAAAAGCCTCACAGTGTCTCATAATGCAAAACCTCCTTTTTTTATGTGAAACATACGCAGGAAGTGTTGTTTTATTGACAGTAGAACAAAATAACGGCAAAATAGAAGTGATTGGAATTAAAAAGTAAGTCTGTTCAAAAGAGAATCTGAGTGATGACAGCGTAACTCTGTGGTTATACTGATGGAATTAATGCCGTTAAAATATACATGATGCTGACTTTACCATGTGAGCCATTCGTATTACAGTTAATTCCAACCAAGCCTTTATTTTTGTAATGCTTTGCAGACGCATTGTTTTACTTTTCACAAAGTTCATCCTCCTTTATAGTCAGTCAGGTCTTTTTGTTTCATCATGAAAAGAAGAACCACGAAGGAAACAGAAAAGCAGAAGAGTCCCTGTTATTGCTCTGCACAAATTGATTCAATCAAAACTAAAGTTTTAAGAGGATTTTGAATAGAGGACTTGAGACTGCATCAAACCTTGATGGACCAATTACCTTTTGTTCACAAAAAAAGGGCTGAAGGGGTTCAAAGGAATGAAGTCGTACTGCTGCACACCTCATAATCTTTTTGTCCATCACAGTGTGAGGTTACAGGTTGGAGATAATTAACTGACTAATGATGTAGAAGTCAAGTACAAGTCTAAGCCTGGAGCCTCTGTGCTGCTCAGGATGCTTCAGACTGAAGACTGATGCACATATTGTCATTTTATTAAAAATGGAATACTGGCAGGTCCGTTTTGACTACCACAGTTAATAAGACCAGCGTGTTTATAATAGGTGGTGACTCATGGGAAATGATGCCTTGCTCAAATGGCCTTGCCACTGTTACTATTACTTCATACCTCACAGTCCTTAAGTTAAAATCCTCTTACATGTCTTGAATGTACGTAGGCATCCCCCCCCCCATTTAAAACCTGAAAGTAAAAAGTGCACATATGGACAACTGATCTCTCACACTCTTCTTTTTGTATCACTCCTTCTCCTCTCACTCTCCCCCCACCAGGAGGCCTGTCTGCAGGGCAACCTAATAGCCAACTGCCTGGAGCAGCTGTCGGACCCCCACCCCCTGCTCCGCCAGTGGGTGGCCATTTGCCTGGGCCGCATCTGGCAGAATTTTGACCCGGCACGCTGGTGTGGAGTTCGGGACAGTGCCCACGAGAAGCTCTACACTCTGCTGTCGGATCCCATCCCTGAGGTGAGAGAGAGGTTCATACCGGAGTTCAGGTACATTTGAAAAAGTAGGAGGAGATGTTTTTGATCATTTTCACTGCCAAAAGGGCAATTCAAGAATATCTTGTATTGCAAATGATTAAGTTGCGCATGGGCATCAATGATTACCTGTTTAGATTCTTCTTCTGAACAGATACAGTAGTTATTTCTTCCAAGTAGCTGCCCATTACCAAGTGTCTCCCAATAATGTGCTGTCAGGTCACAAACACACTTTACAGTCTCTTTAAATATAAAGTTTTAAAATAAATGTAAACTGCACATTTGAGGCTTTAATAACAGAACCATGACTCAGAATTGATGGACTTTGTGGGCATGTCCAAAATGTTCTAATAGAATACAAAATGTTATTGCCTTTTTTACCTTTTTGTATTCATTGTTAATTGGCATTACACAATCTTAAAAAGTTGAGATTAAATGTTTGTTCAATCAAGATGCAAATCCTGTAAAGCTGCAGTATTTATTAAAAATGACAAAATAGGGTCCAGGTAGAAAAACACAACACAATATTATTTTGTATTCAAAACAAGACCAAAAATACACTGAGAAAATGTCTATGCATTCTGGTATTACCAGATATGAAGCAGGTCTAACCTGAGCATACAGTTAAGAAAAAGACACACACAAACCCCCCACACACACGGAGCAGACCCCCAGTGTTAAAACAGGACCCTCAGCATCTGACTGGGTCGTGTGTGGACCAGAGTGACAGCGAGACAGAGTTTGGTCTGAAGTTCACCCAGACACTTGGTGCCCTCGCTCAGACATGGCACATATTTGCATGTGTTCACACACACACATGCACCTACAAGGAACATCCGTTTCCAGAAGTAAATTCCTCCTTCCCTTGGAAAGATAGCTGCTTTGGCCGTAGGGTTGAAACTGAGGTCTGCACGCACACACACACACACACACTCACACACAGCACTTTTTCAGCTGCATTTCCAGGTTGTACATTTATTTTACATTAGGTGTTTTCAGAGTATGTGTTGACTGGATTTTAAATTTATCCTTGGGTGTTCAATTGAGACTATTCACACTGTGTCACATTGTCAACCTTAATGTCACTGAACCGAGAGAAAAGAGAAACGCTTTTAGAAATGCTGCCATTCTACCTGGAATAATGTGCAATAAGTTTCGAAATTGTCCGAGGTTTTTACTCTGGGTGAATTCAAGTTGATTTTAAAGGATCCATTTATATAGGTGGGTTTTTACTGAAACTAAAATGCCATTATGTTTATCTTGTATATATTTATGCAGTGTGTGACGGTTGTCGGCCTCTTGTTTGTAATGTATGTATTGGGGTAACTTTTCTTATCCCGCTCTCTTGTGTCGTTTTCTCATGAAAAAGAGATTTTAATTTTCACAATATTATAAACACATCAACAGTCCAGAAACAATTTTTGTGAAGTTTACAATGTTCAGGGATGCCCTGGAGTCCAGTCAGGGGATTTTAATTTTGTTGTTGAAAGCATAAAATGCCTCCAAAAAATATTTAAGTAGTTCCAACTGTCTATATACACATGTGAACTGTTGCACACAAAGTAATTTGTTATACTTGTCAAAAAGTTGACATACAACAGAAGAGAAGATGCAATACAGGCTGTAGAGACGCTGAAGTATTCAAGTCATTTGTGTTGGGGTGTACAGAACCACAATGACCTGTATTTCTCATGTATATATGTATATATGTATGTATATGTGTGTATATATGTATGTATATACAGTATGTGTATATATGTGTGTATATACAATATATGTGTATATATGTGTG